GGAAGGGGAAGGGGAAGGGGAAGGGGAAGGGGAAGGGGTGGCAGCCAGCTCTGACTGTCCCTTCTGCAGTCACCACCACCCCACACCAGCTGTGGCCCCACAGGTGACAGTGCCTGTCCCCAGCAGGGTGGGCTCTGGGGTCAGGGTGGGCTCTGGGATCAGGGTGGGCTCTGGGGACAGGTGCCACTGCTGGATACCATGGACAGTGCCATTGGTGGACACCATGGACAGTGCCATTATTGGATACCATGGACAGTGCCATTATTGGACACCATGGACAGTGCCATGGACAGTGCCATTGATGGACACCATGGACAGTGCCATTATTGGACACCATGGACAGTGCCATTATTGGATACCATGGACAGTGCCATGGACAGTGCCATTATTGGATACCATGGACAGTGCCATTGATGGACACCATGGACAGTGCCATTGATGGATACCATGGACAGTGCCATTATTGGATACCATGGACAGTGCCATGGATAGTGCCATTATTGGACACCATGGACAGTGACATGGACAGTGCCATTGATGGACACCATGGACAGTGCCATTATTGGATACCATGGACAGTGCCATGGACAGGTCCCGTGGCAGCCCCATTCCCAGCGCCACCTGCCCGGGCTCTCAGGACAGGGGCCTGAGCAGTGACAGCTGCACAGGAACACTGGAATGAGCAGAGGGGCACTAAAACATTCCCTGATCACCATCCCAAATGTGTGCTGTGCCCACAGTTTTCCCCAGGGGCTGCAGATCCATGGCCCAAATTTCCCTTATTTTCTCCTAGAATCACAGAATCCCGGAATATCCTGAGCTGGAGGGACCCCCAGGGATCATCCCAGCCCCTGCCCCTGCCCAGACCCCCAACAATCCCAGCCTGGGCATCCCTGGCAGCGCTGCCCAAACGCTCCTGGAGCTCCGGCAGCCTCGGGGCCGTGCCCATTCCCTGGGGAGCTTTTCCAGAGCTCATTCCACCCTCTGGGGGAAGAACCTTTCCTGATCTCTAGCTTGAGCCTCCCTGGCCCAGCTCCAACCGTTCCCTGGCTCCTGTCCCTGTCCCAGGGAGCAGAGCTGTTCCCCCTGAGCTCTGCCCTCAGTCTGCTCCTCTCCAGCTGAACCATCGCGGTGCCCTCAGCTGCTCCTCCCGCAGTTTCCCCTGCAGACGCCTTTTCCCCGAGCAGGGAGCCAGGCTGGCACACGCTCCTGGCCCGTTTCCGTGGGCAGGAGCCCCGGGAGCCATCTGTGCCCAGCAGTTTGTGTGCAGAGCACGGCCACCTTCTGTTTGCCTCCTCCAGCTCCGTGCAGCAACGATCACAGGGAAACAGCTCTGTCATCCTCACCCATCCCCGGCCCCGTGGCCTCCTGAATGTGAATTAGTGTCTTAAGCAGTTTATTCATTCATGGCAATCTGTTCATTTATTGCCAGGAGATTGTAGCGCTCCGGGAAGCCTTGCATGGGGTGGTTTTTCTCTCTGAGCTCCGACTACATCAGATTTCTTATTTTTCCTAGATCGTTTCATCAGTTCATCTTCCACAGTGCTGGGATGATGTGTGAGACAGCCCTGCTCTCAGAAAGCACAGGATCTGGAATATCCTCAGCTGGGAGGGACCCCCAGGGATCATCCCAGCCCCTGGCCCTGCCCAGACCCCCAACAATCCCAGCCTGGGCATCCCTGGCATCTCCCCCAATGCTCCTGGAGCTCCGGCAGCCTTGGGGCCAGAAAAAGGATAAACTCCTGTGCCCTCTAAAATAAACTGCAACACAAAAAGAGCATTGCATCTCTTGGGAATTCCAACTGTGCCTGCCACAGCTGACACCTGGAGCAGGTCACAGCCCAGTGCAGCAAAATATTCATCTTTAAAGCAAAGAGCACAAAACAACAGAAACACTTTCAAAACCTAAATAAATGCTAGTTTGACTGAATGGACATCATCCAACTGGAGATTTCCATAGAATCATAGAAACATGGAATGGTTTGTCTTGGAGGGACCTCAGATCCCCTCCAGTGCCACCCCTGGATGTGCAGGGACAGCTCCCACTGTCCCAATGTCCAGCCCCAATGTCCAGCCTGGCCTTGGGCACTGCCAGGGATCCAGGGGCAGCCACAGCTGCTCTTCATTATCATCTTTTTTCCCCAAGTCCAGAAATGATGGTTAAAAAGTCTTTACATCTTTGGCTTATTGGGGTAAATTTGCTTTCACAGTGGCTTTATTAATTCCTTGTTTTTTTGAGAATAATCTGGCCAACCATCATTTTCCACTCTTTCTTCCTCTACTCATTCCAGCAAACTCATTTGGATATTCCCCATGATCCCAAAGTGTTCTTGTTGCCCCCTTAGGAGATTTTTTAATTTCACTTATACTGAAAAAAAGAATAAGGATGTGATAAAAGTACCCAAACTACACTTCCAATTTCAGGAGCATCCAAATTGTTGCTGTTGCTGATTTATTTTGTGGGGGAAAAAGGTCTGTCAGCTCATGAGGCATCAGGTTATAGAAGTGCTCTGCACCTTCCTGTCAAGAGGAACTAGTAATAAAAAGTCAAATTTATCAGCTCTTCAGATATTTGGTAGCTAAACCATCAGTTTATATTGAAAATCTTCAGCTCTTTCAGTGGCTCCTATCAGAGAGTATTCAGCCATTAAAAGAAAAAGTTGATATTAAAACCAGGAGCACCAGAAATGTAATATGAGATATTTAAAATGAGCCTTGTAGAAATTAGATTATTCTTGTCTAGACACACATTCCACGAGTTCTTCGACATCCTTCCTAATGTCAGTCAGCAAAACGCATTTGAAGAAATCAAATGAGGAATAACTCAGGAGCAAATGCTGGATACAGATTTAACCCGTTCTCTGGAAGGAAAGGTGGCTGGGATGTGTGACAGGGACAGGAGCAGAGTCAAGTCAGAAAAAGGAAAACTGGGAAAATCAAAAATAGAAGAGAAACAGAGAATGGGTTTGGTCACAAGAGACCTCAAATCCCACCCATCCCCCCCTGCCATGGCAGGGACAGCTTCCACTGTCCCAGTGTCCAGCCCAGTGTCCAGCCTGGCCTTGGGCACTGCCAGGGATCCAGGGGTTCTGCCCTGGGCACCTGTGCCAGGCCTGCCCCTCTCCCAGCCAGGATTCCCTGCTGGCTCTTCCCACCCTGTCCAGCCCAGCCCAGGGCAGCTCCATCCCCATCCCAGAGCTGCCCCGAACCCGGCTGTGCCTGTCCCAGGGACGGGACCCCTCGCTGTCACCCTGAGCCCGTCCTTCAGCCTCCCCTTCTTCCCGAGCCCCCAAATGCACCTTCCCTTCTCTGGATTTCTGCCTCCATCCCCGGCCAGGAGCACTGGGATTCACTGGGGCAGAATTTAGGATAAAACCCCTCCTCTCCTGCCTGCTGGAAAGCTCTGGGAAGCTGAGCAGCTCTGGAAGTGATGCCCTGGTTCTCCGTTCCCAGGAGCAGCCCTCTGGGGAAGGGGAGTTTTATTTCCCTCATCATCCCAAGCGTTCCAGGCTGGCAGCTGCCATCCCTCATTCCTGGAGAAACAATCCCCGGATTCCTGCCCGCAGGCGGGGCTGGGAAACCTCCTCTGCTCCAAATCAGAGCACAAATCCCGGCTGTGCCACAGGGCAGGAGGGCTCGGCAATTAACGACTCCTTAATTGGGCTGGGAGTCACTCGTGTCCCGGCTCCCACCGAGGAGCGGCTTTGCCTTCGCGTGATTGCCCTCTGCTGTAGATGTGGCGGCATGCGCGGCCACTGCCACCGCTGTCATTGTCACCGCTGCCACCGCTGTCACCACTGCCACCATCACCACTGCCACTGTCACCACTGCCACCGCTGTCATTGTCACTGCTGCCATCACTGCCACCGCTGTCACCACTGCCACCATCACCACTGCCTCCACTGCCACTATCACTGCTGCCACCGCTGTCATTGTCACCGCTGCCACCGCTGTCATTGTCACCGCTGTCATCACTGTCACTGCTGCTACTGCTGCCACTGCTGTCACCATTGTCGCTGCTGCCACCACTGTCACCACTGCCACCACTGCCACCGCTGCCACCGCTGTCACCATTGCCACTGCTGTCACAGCTATCAGCAGTCACTGCTGTCACCAATGCCACCATTGTCACCACTGTCACCACTGTCACCATTGTCACCATTGTCACCATTGTCACCACAGCCACTGTCAGCACTGCCACCTCCACCACCAGTGCCACTGCCTCCAGTGCCACCAGTGCCACAGCCCCGTCCCCTGCTGGCACCAGCATGGCCATTGCCAGCAGAGCCACCACTGCCACTGCCACCACCCCTGGCCACTGTCCCTGCTGGCAGGGAACCCTTTCCCAGGGCTCCCTTGACCCATTCAGTGAATCCATGGATATTTCCAAAGGCCTCAGAGTGAAATCCGTGTTGTTGTTAAAACACAGCCCAAAACATCATTTACAAAAGGAGCCCAAAAAAATCCTCAACACTGAAAATAAAAGCAGGTTCAAATATTCCAGTGAGGATTTTACAGCCAGACAGAGCCTTGGGGGGAGAACACTGCCTTTTCCTGGGTTTTTTCCTTGGAATTGTTCCAGTCAGCACCGGCTCCCCAGCTCTGTTGGGTTCTGGTCATCTCTGGGGGAAACGCAGCCCAGTGATCCAGGACAACAAATCCTTCCTGGCAGGAGCTGCCTGATGTCGACAGTGATTAGAGCCGACACGGAAATGTGGAGGAGAGATGAAAAGTAAATGTTGTTCCCTGTAATTTGATGGGAAGGAATTTTTCAAGTATTCCATGTTTTGTTCAGATTAACTTATCTCTGCTTCCCCACAGACACCCAGGAGCTGCGGGGAAGAGAGAAGGAAAGGGAGCAAATAAATAAGCAGTAAACAGATAAATAAACCCAGGATGATGAAGGGTTTGCATTCAGATTTCACCAGGAGCAAAAACCAGAAGCAGAGCCGAAATTCTGTGATGCACAAACAATTCTGACAAAGAATAGAGTTTTAAATCCATGTTTATTGGATGAGGTCTGAGGCTCCAGCACTGCCCCAGGGTTATGGGAAGGGTTGGCAGCGTTCCCGTGGCTGACACTACCCTGGGGGGACCCCAGGGAATCCCAGAATGGTTCAGGATGGAAAGGACATTAAATCCCACCCATCCCCCCTGCCATGGCAGGGACAGCTCCCACTGTCCCAATGTCCAGCCCCAATGTCCAGCCTGGCCTTGGGCACTGCCAGGGATCCAGGGGCAGCCACAGCTGCTCTGGCAATCCCAGCCCAGCCAGCAATTCCCAATTCCCAATCTCCCACCCATCCCTGCCCTCCTTTGGTTTCAAGATGCTCAGAGGTAGGAGCTGTCCAGGGTCTGGGGCTCTCCCTCCCTGCAGACTGACAGGGAATTGCACTTGCCCTCGAGTGGATTTCTAGTGACAGGAACTATCCCTTGGATATTCTGGCTTGATTTACTCAACGTTAAAATTGTTTTTTCTCTATTTCAAGTGTGTTTGGCTGCTGCTCCCGGGCACTGGACCTTGTTGTACCTTTGTCTGATAAATCTGAGACCTTTGTTTTCAGGCATCTTCTCCCCTGACACTGCTCAGGTAGAGATGAAATCAGGGGTTTTCCTCCTTGGCTAAAGTAAATAAATGCAGTTTGTTCCACTGTAAGATGGATTTTGTGCACCTCAGGTCTTCCTGTCCTGCTCACCCAGGGGATGGGGACAAATATTTTAGCAGGTCCTGTGGCAATAGAACAAAGGGTGATGGTTTGACCTGAGAGAGGAGATTTACATTGACACAGTTTTATAAATGAGGGTGGGCAGGCCCTGGCACAGAGTGCCCAGAGCAGCTGTGGTTGCCCCTGGATCCTGGCAGTGCCCAAGGCCAGGCTGGACACTGGGGCTGGAACACCTGGGACAGTAGAAAAAACTCAAGTAGCTTTTCACTGGGGGAAGGCCAGGCCACATTGGGGAGCTGGAATGATTTCCTGAGTTTCTGTCACACGGAGTGACCCTGGAAGCCACCCCTGGCACATGCAGAGACTGCCCCAGTTACAGACCAGTGCAGCAGTTCAGGCAGGACCTGGAGGGGCTGGAGCATGTCCAGGGCAGGAAAGGGAGCTGGGAAGGGGCTGGAGAATTGCTGAGGGAGCTGGGAAGGGGCTGGAGAATTGCTGAGGGAGCTGGGAAGGGGCTCAGGCTGGAGCAAAGGAGGCTCAGGGGGCCCTTGTGGCTCTGCACAAGTCCCTGGCAGGAGGGGACAGCCGGGGGGGTCGGGCTCTGCTGCCAGGGAACAGGGACAGGAGCAGAGGGAACGGCCTCAGGCTGGGCCAGGGGAGGCTCAGGGGGGACAGCAGCAGGAATTTCCCCATGGAAAGGGCGCTCAGGCCTTGGAAGTGCCCAGGGAGGTTTGCAGTGCCCATCCCTGGAGGGATTTCAGGCCCTGTGCTTGTGGCACATGGGGACAGGGGTCAGTGGTGGCCTGGGCAGTGCTGGGGAAGGGCTGGACTCGATGGGCTCCGAGGGCTTTTCCAGCCTGAAGGATCCTGCGAGTCCAAGGTGCAGAAATCAGCACAGTATCTTCCTGGGGAGGCTCAAACCCCAGGAGAGCCATCCCCCTCATGCTCTGACAAAGATGATAGAAGCAGACTCTTCCCTTCGCTCTCCATCTGCAGAGAGGAGTGTGAGGTGCCCGTGGGCCGCAGCCGAGGCAGAGCACTGACAGAGGGGTGTCAGAGCAGCGCTGCCGGCAGCTGGTAGCAAATTAAGATATAGCCCTGCAAACCTTGCAGCATGGAGTGATCCCACAGGGGACATCAGCAGCAGGATCAGGAGATGGTGCCAAGGAAAAATGCTCTCGTCACTCCTGCGCTGAGCTGGGCTGGGCCTGGCAGGAGCGGCCCTGAGGGCCCAGAGCTGTGGGCAGCAGCCCCAGAGCTGGAGCAGCCAGCAGCAGTGCCAGCACTGTCCCCCAGCTCCAGGGGAGGCTTTGGGGCTCATTTCTGGAAAAAATTCAGCAAATTCAGGTTTCCTGTCTCCAAGGCAGCAGAAGCAGCCCCAAGAATGGCAGCACACCATGGCGAAGGACTGGCCAGGTGAATCCATCCCTGCTCCAGAGGCCGTCAGCTCAGGAAGAATTTCCTCGCAAAAGGAGTATAGATGCTAATTCTAAAGCAGGCAGCACAGTGCCCGTGCAATAGCAGGCCACATAACCTTCAGTCTTGCCTGAGAAAGTGGCCTGGGAATTCATAAGGAGGAATTAAAACAATCCTCAGAGATAGAGAACAGCCTTGCAGGTGCTGTTTGTCTGTTCCTTGTTTTCTTGCAAGAGAAGGTCAAGGGGTGGTGAACCCCACTGACCAATGATGGTGATGTGTTAGTTTACTAACCAATAAGAGTTTTCTTTTCTGTACTTTTCACGTATCGGTCTATAAAAAAGAGCCAAGGTAATAAACGAGAGAGAAACTTCTCCAGTTCTGACTCCACGAGAGAGTCTGTGTCGTTCTTTCGCCGTTCCCAATAGAGCAACAAAGGGGTTTTCAAGCACTGGAGGGGATGACCCACAGAGCTGGCTGTTCCATCACACATCCAGGATGTACCTGGTCGTTTTCCCAGGCTCTCTCCCTTTTCAGAGTGTCCCCTTCACACCCTGTAAACACAACCCAAAAGCTGTGATGGAGGCCAGGCTGGATGGGGATGGGAACAAGCTGGGATAGTGGGAGGTGTCCCTGCCCATGGAGGGCGGAATGGGATGAGCTTTAAGGTCCTTCCAACCCCAGCCAGTCTGGGATCCTACAGGAATCACATCCTCAGCTGTGCCTGGCCCAGGTCTGCCCCGTGGGCTCTGGGTGTGAAGCAGGGCTTGGGATGACAGGAGGAAGCACTCAGCAAATAAATCAGCAGCAGGTTGCTTCCTTATGCATGGAGCAGGCAGATAGAGGGATTAGGTGGATACAGGCAGATATCAGCACATCTACCTGTCAAGTGTCAGCACAGGAACAGCTCCACAATCCCAAACTCCCCAGAAAGAAATGAAAGGAAATGTGAGGGATGGGTAAAGCCCAGTAACAGAACTGGAAAGGAGCAGAGAGGCACAGATGGAGATAGCGTGGGTTTATAATGGGATTATGTTATCCTCTCTCCCGAGACAGCCAAAGCCAATCCTCTGCATCATCCTAACCGTGACTCCGGGCTGCTCCCAGGCACGAGGGCTTGGCCGAGGTCCTGAGGAAAGGCTCTGGAGAAGAGGAAGCTCAGGCTTTGAGGCAGACCATGGAAGGATGCTTAGAGCCACTGGGGCCTGGAAGGGTTCCAAAAACGTGTGGCTGTGGCACTTGGGGACATGGGTTAGGGGTGGCTTTGGCAGAGCTGGGGAAGGGTTGGGACTGGATGGCCTTTGGGGTCTTTTCCAGCCTTAATGGATCTGTGAATACAGGATACCTAAATCCAGGACACTTCCTGTGCCCCTGCAGGAACAACACCTGGAGATTGACTGAAGGGAGCCAGCAAGGTCAGGCATTTCTGTGGCTACCCCACATACCCCCCAGGAGAACATTTACCTCAGAGGTGCTGCTGAGCCCTGAGAAGAGGAACTCCAAGCTCTGAGGGGGCCCTGGGACACCACATGGACGTGTGGCTGCACGCTGGGACCAGTGCCCAGGGCTGGGGCAGTGACCATCCTGAAAACAGAGTAAAATCAGAGAATCTGGGAATATCCTGAGCTGGAGGGACCCCCAGGGATCATCCCAGACCCCCCAACAATCCCAGCCTGGGCATCCCTGGCAGCGCTGCCCAAATGCTCCTGGAGCTCCGGCAGCCTCGGGGCCGTGCCCATTCCCTGGGGAGCTTTTCCAGAGCTCATTCCACCCTCTGGGGGAAGAACCTTCCCTGATCTCCAGCCTGAGCCCATCCCTGGCCCAGCTCCAGCTGCTCCCTGGGTCCCACTCCATGCCACGGTTCAGTGGGAACGGTGGGATTGGTGGGAGGTTGGAATGATGAGTGTAGAGGTCTCTTCCAACCCTGACGATTCTGGAAGTCTCTGCCCTGCACCATCACCCAAACTGCAGAGGTGCTGGTGCCTCTGGGCTTTGCTGCTCATCTTTGTGACAAGCATTTCCATCTGCAGGCAGAGAAAGGAGCCCGCTGGCTGTCCCAGGATGTGCTCCGTGTGTTAATCACCCACCGCCATAATTGCTGCCGAAGATTTTTCCTGTTGCATTTATACACTCCACCTGATTAGCAGTCATGGAACAGCAGCAATTTGCCATAATATTCTGAGAGCGCTTAATT